GCCGTTAGGTGTGACCAAACAGATTGGGTTGTGCAGTACACGTGCCATAGCACTCGACCCCACAGGACAACCAGTGTATGGCCAGACCAACAACAGTGACATCGCCTATAGAGTTACAAATAAGGCATTACTAACTATTAGCACACAATTACTCTTTACAACGGGTCAGATATACAGCACATGACTGACCCTCTGTTGGCATTAATCAATGAATTTGTATGATTTAAACAGAATTTGCAAATGATTTCTCAGTTTTGATTGCATACCGATTGTTGAGCACAAATACAGCGGCAAATGTCCTAACAGTATATGACTTGTTAGGCATCGAGCAGTTGGCTGTCATAGTGGGCGCCAATGTATCCCTCGTTATGAGAGACTCCATGAGTGATGAGGAGGACGGGCACGACGGGCACGACAGGCCCACACATCTCCTCAAAGTTGACTTTATTTCCAAAGTCAATGATAATCGATGGCATCGTTTGGCGTTCAGTATTAAAGTATTGATTCATTCATTCTTAACATTATAACCACTCATTCATATACTGCTGTGNTCTTTAAATAAATGTCATCATATTTATAATACTTGTGAATTATAACTGTCTGTCCTTTTATTATAAGTTAAATCAATGGAGTCAATGGATTGTTGAGTTGAGTACTTTATTATAGCATTAGGTGATCGTTAATAACAAATCAAATCATAATATGTACAAAACAGATATAGAGGTGCGTTAGAACTAGAGTGACCAAACTTCCAGGATTCACCTGAACTGTTCAGGAACTGTCGTGTCCAGGACAAGGTCTAACCAGGACAATGTAATGTGTACGTATGGCACGAAAGAAGTGTTAATATAAAGATTTCCATATTTTTAAATAAATTTAATAGATTAGTGATACAACTTTTTTAAGTTTGTTTATTTTTAATTTCTAGATTTAATTTAGTATTATTGTATAAAACTACAAGATTTAATAATAATCCAACACACTACTTTATATTGAACGTGCGTGGGTATATCCATTGTAGAATACTATTATTTCTAATTTAATTTAAAAGTTTTTTATTTTATTTTAAATATTTATCTATAAAGCTTAAATAGCTTTAGAAGTAATAAAATAGTTTTATCTATAGTGTGTAAAGTTTAAAGAGTTGGATATAAATTTAAAATAAAAAGACATACTTTTAATTTATGAACAAAAAGTACACCAATCTGTTCGGGAGATTTAGATTTTAATCTAACTTACAGATTGTGTATAGATCATGTACCATGGTCATAATTTAATCGTGAACAAATAAAACGTTTATAGAATGCCCCGAAATGCACGATTCCATACAGTTCTATGACTCGATTGATACGCAAAGCAGTGAATTGAATTGACGATTGATTCAATGCGTCCATTCACAGCACTGCAAGGAATCATGCATTTTGTGAGACTGTTTAAACATTTTTGCTGTGTTTGCCATTAAATTATCTCCATTGTACATAACTTATGAACATTCTATTCTGTAAATCAGATATAAAAATCTAAGTCTCCCTGAACAGATTGGTGTACTTTTTGTTTATAAATTAAAATTATAAGTATTTTTTATTTTAAATTTATATCCGACTCTTCAAACTTTACACACAATATATTTGTTATGTTAATTTTAGACAAAATCCAGGGTCAAAAATTTCGAGTTGGTCACACTAATTAGAATTTAACTGGGAAAATAGTGTACCTTTTAAATAAAATTTTTGGAAATAAAAATTACGCATTTTATATGAATTATTAACATATGATAAATTAGTATTTATAAAGCAAAATACCTAACGCCTCTTTATATGTGTAAAGCTCATATTAAACTAAACTAAACTAAACCACTTACTGGTAATTGAGAAGTTTGGTATATAGGTGTCGGAGCTTTAGTTGGATTTGTTGAGACATTTGATTGAGAAATTATGTATGTTGTAGATGTTGTGTATGGTATACCTTTAGGATTAGAAAGCACAAATTATGGTGAAATTGTGGAAACCGCTATTTTTACTAAAGTATTATATGATCAATTGTATACATTCAATTGTAGGTCATTCAGATTAGTACACAAAAGTGCATTCATTTTGGAATATTTGAATAATATGATAGAATAGAATAAAATGTATGCATTCATAATACTATACTGATCTGAATGACTGAATATACGAATAATATGTGAATAATAAGGGATAACAGATAACACACTGCTTTGTATATTGTGGTCAATGTTTGCATCAATACTGCCATAAGTCGTGTCGTAAGTACTGCCATCAGTTGTGTCCAGATTGTCGTCCAAATCGTCTTCATTAGTGCCATTGAATGCATTTTCATAACCATTAGTGTTGTGATCGAAGTCGTCATAAGGAAAGGGTTGTGAACAGTCCGGGAGGTAGTCATAGCACTGCTCATAAGCCGCATCAGGAGATGGAATCACAAGAATGTGTTGTAAATCTCCTTCAAAGTGGTTGTTGTTGAGCAGGGTAGTTCCCACCAGGGTCACACCTGTCGTGTCTATCCGAGAGTTTGCATGTCTGGCCAGTGTATGGCTTTGTTGGTCATTGCAATCCGTAAGTAAAGTCACGGAATCTCCCTTTCGATAGCATTTATAACCAGAGATATGAGAGAAAGCACAGCAGTATACGGTATGAATGAGTGGTTATAATGTTAAGAATGAATGAATCAATACTTTAATACTGAACGCCAAACGATGCCATCGATTATCATTGACTTTGGAAATAAAGTCAACTTTGAGGAGATGTGTGGGCCTGTCGTGCCCGTCGTGCCCGTCCTCCTCATCACTCATGGAGTCTCTCATAACGAGGGATACATTGGCGCCCACTATGACAGCCAACTGCTCGATGCCTAACAAGTCATATACTGTTAGGACATTTGCCGCTGTATTTGTGCTCAACAATCGGTATGCAATCAAAACTGAGAAATCATTTGCAAATTCTGTTTAAATCATACAAATTCATTGATTAATGCCAACAGAGGGTCAGTCATGTGCTGTATATCTGACCCGTTGTAAAGAGTAATTGTGTGCTAATAGTTAGTAATGCCTTATTTGTAACTCTATAGGCGATGTCACTGTTGTTGGTCTGGCCATACACTGGTTGTCCTGTGGAGTCGAGTGCTATGGCACGTGTGCTGCACAACCCAATCTGTTTGGTCACACCTAACGGCTCCGACTCGAGGCCCAGTAATTGAAGCACATCTGAGGACCCTATCGGACACAACAATCATATCTTCACTCATTTTATTGATTAACTTATTTCCAAACACCACTCCATTATAGATATTGTCTGTCCACTTTAAATAAAGTCTTAACTTCTCTTTTTCTTGGATTAATTGCTGGTAAAGCCTATTGACATGTTAAAACACAATACCCTATAACGAGACTTACAAATCCAGTGTATGTCTATTTGACACTTTATGTAATACATTTCTGTATTAATTGCCGAAATAGTGTATTAAATGATGGGATACGGCACGGGGTTTTCCTTTCGAGTCAGAGACTGACCATAGTGTGACCACATGGATGTTATTTTGGTTTAATTTTTATATTAATAATATCGATAAATGTATCAAATAGATAAATAGATAAATGTGTTAAATAGACTAGATCGTAAATAATAATATGCGTTTGTACAGTACAGTACAGTACAGTACAGTACAGTACAGTGTGAAATGTTACAAAATCACTTATAACTTATAAGTTATAATAAGTTATAATAATTACAAATTAGAAATTACAAAATATTGAAAACTGAAAAATTTATATTGTTGCATTTTTAAGGAATATTAATAAATAGAAAAATTGTAAATGCTTCCCATTTTCAATTATCAATGGTAATTGTCTTATAAATTATTAAAAGATCACAATTAGAAACATTGAAAACTTTAAAATTTAAACTCGCAGATTATGTAATAATTACTAAACTTTCAATATTTTATGAGATTTTGATAATTTATAAGACAATTAACTTTACTAATTAGCTAATTGGTACAATTAGAATATTACCAAATATATTGTGTAGGTAATAACTTATAAGTGTTAAATTAGGTTTTTAACAAACTGCAAAAGTGAATTAAATATTATTTATAATAAATGTGATGATGGCTTACCTGATGGCAAAATGAAAGAACAATTTACTAAACAATTGATTATAAATGCTGTATAAATACATAAACTAAATATATGACCACAAAAATTACACAAATCAAGTGTCATTTCGGTAAAACTAATGATATTATGAATTATAAAGTGCACATCAATGATATATGTGTAGCAAATGGTCTCATCATTTTGCTTATAATTACAATCAAAGATCAAACACTACTTCTTAACCACTGTAACTGCTATACTGTTTGTGTTAAATGAATGCCAAATCCTTTAATTATAAAACATATTTAAATAATATTAGCATTTGTGCCTAAATGTGAATCGATGCAAACATTTGATTGAGTGGTGTATTACAGCTTTTTATAGCTTTTCATTCATTGCTCACACTTTCAACACTTTTCTTAAACTCAATTGATTTATGAAAGTGAGTTCAAATGAACGCACATATGGTTTGCTAATTATCACCATTCATGATGACCTATACATCAACTATTCATCGAAAACATACTGTACATACTGTACATACAGTGTACATGAACTTACATTTCAAGCATTCAAACAAACTAATTGAAACTTTGAGATTTATTGGTTAAATTAAATGTCCAGTATGAATGCAGTACAATATGCTACTTTTATATCGTGTTGTTATGCTAGAGCATATTATCTAATAAAAGTGCGTTGAAGTACGATACAGTAAACAACTTTTATTACTACTGTATACTATCTTTTCATGACTGTTACAATACCAACACAAGTGCACAACTGTTGATTGAATGAAATGAATACTTATCTGGTCAATAGAGTAACATCAGGATCATGTAAATCAATGGTACAATTGCATACATTGCAGCCATAGAGTGATGCAGTTATGAGACTCTTGTTGAACAGTGCGCTCGCAGTCCACACCCAATCACTAGTATTGTGGTTGTGATGTAATGCATGTTACATGTCATAGAAATACAATACATACTGTACTGTATCATAGAGTACTGTATCATAGAGTACTGTATCATAGAGTACTGTACTCCACAATATGAGTGGCATTGATGGTAAGCAAGACACTGATGGCATTGATGGCAAGCAAACGCGTCATTCCAATGACTATAGCATTAGTTATGGCCACGACTTCAACGAGTGCTCGACCCGAGCGGTGGCCAAAAGCATAGCACTGTTTTGTATGGGTAGGTGCACCTACATGTAGCCCACGACCACTATTAAACAGTAGTATCTATCCGTTGGTAGCATTCTCTGGCACTTACTTACTCCAGAAGTCACGTGCCGTCGCCCGAAGACATGTGTTTGTGTTGCCGACAGTCGTGGCAACCGTTGTGGGCGTCGAAGCCCTGAGAGTTTGTGTCAGTACTTGTCGGCAAAAGTTTGACAAATAATGCAATCGTTGTATAGATTGTAATCATCTGTCAATACAATAATAAACACATTTTATATTCAAATCATTTTATTGTCCATTCATTGCATTCATTGATGGCTTCAATGGCTTGAGATCAGCGCAGAAGAGGACGGCCTGAGCCCAACCGGCGCTCTCACCAAACGTAGACCGGAAGAAGTCGGCTGACAGTCGGACAGACAGACAGAGTATGAGATCATAAATGACAGCATACTGTATACTGTATTTGCATTGAGAGGACCCTGAATCATATGAAATGAATACCGATTTCGTTGTACGCCCTGTGGGTGAGTGTCTTGTTTTTCTTGAGATGAGGTAAGTACTGGTTTCGTGCGATTTTCAACACATGTATGTCCACAGGGATGGCCTGCAAGTGTCCCAAAGCCATGAGTGCTATACAGTCGGCAACTTTAGGCCCAACTCCGGGCAGTCGTGTCAATGCGTCCTTTGCCTCACTGTAGGGCATGGCCTGCAAAGTGGTGGCCCACTGGAGGGGACTGTCGTACTCATGGCATATGGCTTTGGCGGTGCTCTCGATATATTTGGATCGATAGCCGAAACCCAATCGCTTGAGCTCTGCGGCCACACTGTCTTCGGCCAAATGGCGGACGTCTGGGAACGAGTGAATGCTTCCCAACTCTGGCGACTCATACAACACGTGTCCATACTTTTGACACATCCTTTCAATCATTGTCTCAATCCGTGAGATATTGTTATTTGAGGAACAGATGAATGAAAAGAGCGTTTCGATGAGGTTTTGGCGCATAATTCGTATGCCTTTCATGTGGACAGCGATGGCAGCGAAGTTGGCATCACTTTGGGACCACTTGTCGTACAGATCACTCGCACTCACATCCAATCGCAAGTAATGCGCAATCAATTCACGGAAATACTGGTCATCCCTCACATCCCTGTCCTCGATGTCTGCATTAAGCACTTCATAAGTGATGTGTTGTTTGTCTGGCGATTGTGTCAACCGGAAGACAAAGCGGTTGTCAACCACTCCAACCCATACACTGCCACTACTGCCTCCACTGCCACTGCAAGGCCTCCACCGGAACGCCTGTCCGCTCTTCAGTGTGAGTGTGAGGTTCAGTTCCCGGGCATTGGTCTCAATGGTGCCTGAAATAGCCTTAATGGCAGTCATCCCTCATATTAATAGTCTCTAAATTGTAATAATAATTGAAACAATTGGTCAAAATGACATGGATCAATTACTTAATTACTGTTACTTGGTTAAATTGACTTAACCGTGGTCAGTTCACTGTTCACATGTTTGGTAACATGCAAATTAAGTAATGTGTTGCTGTAATACAGTACAGTATACTGTATAATACTGTACTATGAGTAGTATTGACACTGTATTCACAGTTGATTTGCAGACAAACAGATGTCCTCTCAATACACCATTCAAATTGAATTGACTTACAGTTTACGCTTAAAAATTAAAATTCACTAATTTATCTAATTTATATTTAAACATTGGTAATGTATTTTGAAAATATTGATTAAAATATCATTGAATTCTGTATGTAATCTGATTTCTAAAGCACCTTTTATGCTTAATTTATTCAATTTAAGCATTGTAATTTATTTAATTTTTATTATTTAGATCCCTAACTGCAAATTCAGAGTATTTTTACTAATTGTTCAACCTAATTGTTTTCATATCTTTTATAATCTTTTATAATTTTTTTAATTTATATTTTTATCAGTGTAATTTACTGTAATTTATTTAATTTACGTAATGTAATTTTTATAATTTTTTAAAAATCCCTTAGTACAGTACATCATGCAAATATGATAGGCTATTGTAAATTACAATCAAAATACTGTATTACAATTTGTAATATTGCAACAGTAAAACATCAAAGTATACTGGTACACTATACTATACAGTAGAATTTATATAATTTATATTACAGCACTGTATTTTATGTTATGACATAAAACACTTAAAACACTTTGCCCCTTTACAATAAACAAGCAGAAAATATAAGTTCCTACTAAATAAATGTATTACAGTAATTATTCTTGTGAGATTCTGATTACAGGCAACATTAAAGTAATTTAATTCAAGTTAAATTGGCTTACAAATTTTAAATTAAATTTTAATAATATTGTATTGAAGAAATTATTTTGAAAAATTATTTGATTAGATATAAAAATTATAAACAGGATATTAACTAAGATGCTAAATATTTAACTAGAATATTTTTCCACGAATCAAGCCCATGAAATTTATAATAGAGGCTCTATTATAGAGCCCATTTCAATTCTTATGATATGTGGTTACAAATACAAGAATATGCGATTGTGTGCTTGTACAGTATCATTAATGCCAACATTAACGAACATTTCGTTTAATTTACTCCAATATGATCACCATTTTTGAATACAATTTTACAATCATTATTAAAGCATCCAAATCCAGTTATTTAACTATTAGTTGCGATTGCCAAGAACATCATGGGATTAAGTATGAATACGAATCATGTAATAAGGGTCATTTCAAGAGAGTTTGATTTTAACTATAAATAACTATTTGATGGGTTCGTAACTATTTTAAATATTTTAGAATTTTAAGCATAATTTGGGCATAATCTTGAGATTTTGAATTTGAAATATAGAAATATTTATTTTTATTGACTTTTATTAATAAAGCAAACTAAAATTGATTATAATTAATAATAGAAATAAGGTTTAGCCTNTAGAAATATTTATTTTTATTGACTTTTATTAATAAAGCAAACTAAAATTGATTATAAATAATAATAGAAATAAGGTTTAGCCTACCTATAGATACGTATTATAACATTGTACTTTTTTTGGTTATGAATACATAGTATACATAGTATATTATTCTTTTGAATTTTGATTTAATATATGATTTATTAGCTAGCTTAATTAATTGAATTAACTAAATTGTGTATTTATAATATAAAATTTAGTATAATATTATATTTCTTTAAATATAATTTATAATTTATTAAATTTTGAAAATACAAGTATATGTGAGAGAATTGAATTCTAAAATATATTTATCCTAAAATCTTAAGTATATTTGTTGTTATTATTGTTAATTTAATATTGTTTAGTGACTAAAATATGATATAATTAAGATTTAAACGATTTATTTACATAATTTGAGGTCAAAATAGAACAACGACTGTAATATTAACTACAAAAAGTGTAATTATGAAAAACATAGGATAAATAAATAACTATTTAACTAAGTATTTGACTACTTTTTGTCAAATATGATAGTGACTATAAAGGTCTTTTTACCACCTAGATTTGGATGCTTTATTCATTATGGATGGATTTTTCATAACCATTTTTGTTTTAAGTTCATTTTATGGAAATACTGTACAGTATATGCAAACAAATGGTTTAAACAAATGACGCCAAAATCATTCACATAGGATCCACTAATTGGTAAGGAGTGTCAATTAAATTGTAAATTTATTAAATTGAAACACTTTTTAAATACAGTCTTAATTTATTTTGCTTAATTTAGAAATGGTCATCCAAAGCGGTTTGCCATTATCCATAAATGTGAGAGAATTATGGCAAATAAAAGATTTTTGTTCACGATTAGTTCAACTCAAATAGTTTAAAATTTTTATAAAACTTATTTTGTTTTTGTTCTATATATTTGGTATAACTTAATGTTTAGTTTAAATATAATAAATGAATATTTTAATTATTTTAAATAAAAGTTTTATTATTGCTTCAAATAATCAATTCTCTGAATGCTTGTGACCGCTCTTCAAATGTATGAAAGCATTGAACCATTTATGATATGTTTCGCATAAATTTGATCATTATTTAAATGAATTCATATTTTTTATTTCCATCACTTTTTATATTTAAGTGAATTTGTCAAGAATTTCTAAAAATAAAATTTAATTTCTTCACTCAGACTCGGAATTCATCTTAAGCTTGCTTTTTATAATAATTTTTGTCAAATTAGTTAACATTATCACTAATTAGACCTATAACTTGATTCATGAATAATGATCATGCTCAATTTATTGACATTTCTAATGTCAAGTTATGTTTATGGAAGTACTGATTATTTGAAGTACAATTGAATATTGTATATAAATTACATTAAAATTCAAAATAAAACCAATGTTTTGTAACAAATAATTTTGTAGTACCATAAATGTTTGGCATTGGAAACATTTCTAACTAAATTTATCAATTATAAATCTATTAATTAGACGTGTATATTGTATTAATAGATGTGGTAATATTATAATTATTGTTAATATTCTTGATGATTGAATGTCAAAAACTATTTTGGTTGTACAGTATAATTTATACCTTTAAGTTTTAGCTGATTTTATTATAACCTTTGGGTCAATAATAGTGTAAGTTTGTTGTGTTTATAAATTTAGATCTGTTGTTAATATATTATATTATCTAAATTATTTAATATACGGTACATTGTATATTATTTGTTACTTCTTTAAACAAGTTGTAAAATACAAATTAAAATTAATTTCTATATACACAAATGGATACATATTTGTTACAAATTAATTTCTTTGCATTTCTACAACCTTTTTTTGTACAACAATTCTTTACACATTTTCTTTGTAAAAATATAAACTAAATTTCTCCCAAATATTGTCTAACATTGAGAAGAGTATGGTATAGACGTCTATAATGCAAAATATTATAAGACTTATGCAATCGTTTTAAGATTACTTTAATGAATACAAATCTTATCACAATCTAAAAGTACATTAAATTTTGACTTTATAGAAGAAAATTGATATAATTTATATACAGTATTTGTATGGTGTATAATGTAGTATAGTGTAGTCTACTCTGTAGAGTGTATATACTTCACGCTATACCCTATTTCATAATTTGTAAGCACTTAATTGCCCAAAAATACTATTATTATTTAAATTACAATTTATTTGAATAGTCTACACATATAACTTAACTTGTAATTCATCACTAGAATTGTTGCATGTATGCATGTAATGTGTTATTGTTATTAACACAATAAATATTTATTTTCTATCTGAAAACACCATTTAAATCATAATTTATAAAACAATGTATTAATTTTATTTATTTTAAATCAGCCAGGTTTAAAGTTTTCCCGTTAATAAACCTACTTGTTAATTAAATGTTATAGCAAGTTAGTAATACTATATATTATATTATATATGTATATTACATTATGTTTACCGTATATGACAATATGTACATTTGCAATTTTGTACAATTGATTTAGTGTTTAACTTAAATTGGCAAACATTATGTATATAAAATGAATCTTTCGATATTATTTTGAATATATGGTATAATTTGCAAATGAATACATAAATGAAGAAGTATTAATATCTTATAAGATAGTCTATAGTACAGTATATTTATACATATGATAGAGAGCTACAGTGCTAGTATGTAATAGACCGTAATGTTGAAGTGAATATGCGTTAACTTTAGGCAAAATATGAAATAAGAATTCTTATCAATATCTCTATTGAGATAACGAATGGCTGACTATTACTCTATAATAGTTGCACTGTTTCGCCGTCTTTTCCTTTACTGCAAATTAATTCAAACAAATCCTTATTTCATATATACTTCTGTACATACTAAAAGTTAATATGAGTTTTATGAATTTCTTTATTTTCAAATTCATTCTATGCTTGTGTGGGATATATTTTTATATAAAATATTCTATAATTCAATATTATATTGTAAAAACATCATACAATTTAATTGATACTGTATTAGAGAATTTGTACAAATATAACGTATTTTTGTTGATATCAGTTACTAATAGAAAATTATATATTTGATTTGCAGTGACTTACACTTACTGGCAATAGTTTGTGAAATGAGTTCTGTATTTCGTATATGTTATCTAAGAAATAGTCAAAAAATAATATAAATAATAGCACCGATTGATAGAGAACTCTGTTCTGTGGTTTCAATACTCTGTACTCTCATGAAAAGACTCTTATCTTTGATTTAGACATGAATTTTACTTTAGTTTACATATTATTTGATTGAATTTTTTGCAAACAGTGTTTCTATGAATTGAATGATGAAGTAGTGGTAAACGTCTGAAATTGGGAAACATATTAATATTTGCAGTGTTTGGCTGTTTAGCTGTTTTTCCATAACTATTGATATAAGTTGGTGCAAGTGTTGGGAATGGATGTGTTGGATGTGTGAACTTTGGTCTCATATGTCTCTCCAATAACTGTATTGTTATTTGCTTTTTGTCTTTCCCATGACTACAATCTTATCGAAAGCTCCGTTAGATTTAGTGTTGGAATTGTTAATAGTGGCCATTATATACATTACATACATAGCAACTATACCTATCATATATGATATTACAAACTATAACTAACTTATATTAGGTCTACTAGTATTAGTTGTGTGACTAAAGCTCCAAATCTAATAATTTTCATTTCATATCATATTTACTCATTTAATTTGATTTGATTTTGTTGTTAACTATTTTTCAATTTAGATATAATATTAATATAATATCATAAACATTGCCTGCAATATATAGTCATATATTGAGTATATTCTGCATATTCTGTACCCAAAACACAAAGTCATGGAGCAGTCGAACGATACTAATCGAGATGAAGGCCCTAATCACTCGCAGATAAGTGATAGTCACCACCAGCACCACCACCACCAACAACAACAAGATATGGTTGGCTCCGACACCAACAACTCCGATCCACACCAAAACACCAACTCTGGCAATGGAGGTGCAAATGGTGGCAGTGGTGGCAGTGCTGGCACGGGTCAGCACAAGGCGTCGCCTCAACATATGTCGGGCCACCACAGCGACGACAACGACCACCCGACCCACCACTCCAGACACGCCATTATCGACGCCCATACACATGTCATCACAGAAGCGCCGCACACGAGCGCACCGGTCGCTCACGAAAACCACAGCCTCCATATGAAGGCCAGGGAGGCTCAGGCGCACAGTCCGTCCAATATTGCACAGCATTCAGCGCACGGCTCACCGGTGCACGAGTTGGTCAGTGCGGCCACAGTCGGTCACTCCCTCGCCGACGACAAGAACGGCATCACCGCTCACTCCGATTCTGCCCTCCATTCACACCTTTACTCCAACTATCAGTCGGCTCATCAGCAGCACCACCAGTCCAGGTATACCTTATTGCTGAACATTAGGCCTAAACACAGCCTATAAACACAGTGTTTGCCCATCCATTCCCTGCATACCAGTGCTATTGCTGTGTGTCGTTGGCATACTTACGACAGTATAATACGGAATATACGGTATATATAGTCATTCAAACAGATATGCAATGATATATACAGTAGATATTAAGGCGTAATACCGATGCGATAATACAGTTAATGCCGATGCACTGGCTGTGCGCCTAACCTATTGATAGTCCATATGATTAGTGTAATGATAACTTTTATATGCCTGTGCTGTCTGGCCTATCACTTCTTTTATCGGTAACTGATTCCTTGTCTCTCCACTAATATATGTTTTCTTAACCATAATTTCATATAAGATAATAGCCCTGTAAAGCACTGTTAGGCAAACATTTTGATATAAATTTACGATTCAGTCACACATCAAATCTAAATGATTATTATAATCAATAGATTTGACTTTTGTCTACAAATTTAATTCATTTACTGATTTGATTAAAACTCATTTTATTTACTATTTATTATTGATATTTAGTATAATATTAAATATCACAATATTTTTATATCAAATCTTTATGAATGGTTGCATTACTTTGTACAGTACCAAACTACATACTACATACTACCATACAGTACAGTACTGTATATCTTATGTTTGTTTGAAACAAGTATTTCTCAATTTAATCCCAACTCTATCCCTATATTGCTTCCAATGTATGTGTGAATGAACTGGTAGTCCGACCCAAGCGGTCATCGGTCATCACGGCTATGGTCCGTCTACTTCGTCCGCCTCATACGCCAATACTATCGGTTCCGTCACATTAAGCCAATCAATTGGAGGTTACGGTACATCCCCGCCTAACTACCACAACAGTCACCGCAACAGTACCGGTGCCGACTATCACACGGCTTCAGCACTCAGTCCTAAATCTGCTCACCATTTGGCCGCAAACTATGATAATGTTATTCATAGCTCTATATATGGCAATAACGGACACTCCACTGGACTCATGTCTGGCCATCATTCACAGACTGTCGTTCATTACGCCCCACAACAGACACATCACGTACTCATTGAATATTATACCATATTATTGAATATTATTATATACAGTACTATACTAACTATACCAACACTGTTCAATCGCACCAGGGCGTTCATTTGGGTCAAAGCTCAAGTTCATCTCACCATCACCACCATTCAAGTCAATCTCCCAGTCCCCAGCTATGGACAACGGATGGCTTGGCAGCACATACTATGGCTTATAATTTGCCTGGTATTTCCATTTTCATTATCATTATTGCCGTATAATATAAATTCACAATTATAATACAGAGAATATCATATGAGTTTATAATATACAAAAAGATCAATCGATGAATAAAAATGAATGACTATTGATAAATAATTTTACATTAAAAGCAGAGTTTACTCATTCAAACTAATGAAAGTTTTCAAACTTAGTGTTTAGCTTACATTCATAGTCCTTCATTTTTATTCATCCATTGATCTTTTTGTATATTATAAACTCATATATTCTATTTGTTAATGTTGCGAGATTGTTAATTTAGTTTTTAGCACACTTGATGTGAACCAATATAAACTAAACATAACATTCTAGTAATAATCTTATGTTACATAAGTTATGTAAAATATTTTTACATATAAATTATTTGATTTTGTTATCCACGTGTAAATTAATCATAACTTTGAAATTATAGTTAGGCTTTAGTAATCAAGTTAAATATTTTTTAAATTTCACATTTCACAGAATATTTTAATATTATGCAGTATTATGCAATATTATGCATATACCATTAATATGATTATACATATTATTATATGTTTTGGTTCACATTAACGGTTTGCTAAAATACAGATATCCAAACATTACTGTATCAATATTATAATTGTGATGGGTAATCTACTGTACTATCAATGTTATCCAAATGAATGTTGTTATTAATCTGGATCACCAATCAAATACTGTAATACATATCAACTCTTCTTTAATACAATATACTGTATATGTATTACAATATTGCTTCAAATACAGTGACAAATACTGTACATTGGACTGTAATTTTAAAGCAAAGTTAATATGAACTAATTGTCTCATTGTATTCTTGTAACAGACATGTATTGTAGAATATTTGAGCCAAGAAAATATGATTGCATTAGTGCAAATGTACATGGTGTTTTGAGAGTAGTCACATTAATTGCTTTGTTTGGTTGCATTGAGTGATGCAATGTTTTCATAGTTAATGTGTTGTTGAGTGAGTGCTGTCTGTCTGTCTGTTTGTCTGTCTGTGTGACTGTCTGTGGGCTATATTGTGGTCTATATAATGGTCTGAATTGTAGGCACAATCTCTCCGTCGTCTCTGCAGCAGTTGACGGCTGTGAGTGACGCCAGTGGTGGCAGTGGTGGTCACCCGGAGCTGTCATCGTCGCGTGCCGGTGCCGGCACAGTGCAGGCCAATGGCTTCAACTCCAACCCATTTGGCGGCTCTTCCACCACAGGTGCGCACTATCTGAGAGGCGACTGGTCTCAGGCATCCATCTATGATGGGCCCAACACTGCTAATTACACGGTCACTGTAGGCGATCACAGACGTATGAGCCCTGACCGCAACCCAGGAGCTCCTGTTGGTCTCTCAGCTCATCAATTAGGTATAAACACTGGGCTATAAAAAGATGCCAATTATTAAGGTTCACCATTTGACCTTTCTCAATTATGACATTATTGGAAATTATAGTTAAGAATCATACAAAACTACGTTCAATGTTGTAGAGGACACTGCTCAATAATATAAACATACTGTATAATAGCTTAAGTTTATTCTATGAGTTATATATAATTTTCCATAATTTAACCATCAAGTAAACTACATGTTTCAGGATACAAAACCTTCAGCCATAATAATCCCAACCTCTTCTAAACCCTAAACATGATCTGTATGTATGATCACTGATCAGTCCAAATCAAAACAGGTTTTGTGTCAAAATTTAATACTGACCAAAGCTATGGGTCAAAGGTTAAACATTGATTAAATTGTAAATATTTACTAATTCTCAGACAATCGACTTTACCTGTAATTTGGTAATTAATAAATTTTTTTCGATAAAACATAATAAGTCACATATACTACCGTATACTAGTTAATACTAGTGATTCTATACAATATTATTTTTATAGCAATAATGATACAAAAATATTTACATATGTATTTATTAAATTGAGACGGGTATTGACAATACTGTAACGCATATACAAAACATTATTGTTAGAGAAAGGAAATCATGAATTTTTGTGAATCTGTTTGATGAATACAATACGCGTATTATTATATCATAGAGTAGAGTATTGTGTAACAGTTTGTCAATACTCGGCAGTGTTTTGTTGAAATCTAATGAATAATTAATTTGAGTGAATGTTTGGTTCAGGGTCCGATTTCTTCGCTGGTGAGGCGCGTGAGTGCGTCAACTGTGGGGCCATATCAACGCCGTTATGGCGCAGGGATGGCACCGGACACTACCTGTGCAATGCTTGTGGCTTATACTCCAAGATGAATGGTATGCATCGGCCACCGATCCGTCCGCACAAGAAGATGCCCAACAACCGGAGGGCTGGCCTCACCTGCTCCAACTGCCACACATCCACTACCACTCTATGGCGACGCAATAACCAGGGTGAACCGGTTTGTAACGCTTGTGGCCTCTACTTCAAGTTACACGGAGTGAGTATTGCTGCACCATATGTTTGGGCACATCCACCTAGGCCTGACATCACATCCACTATACTGTATATACAGTATATTGGCTTCAATATAGATATAATCTCTTCATTTGTGTGAACCTTTCGACAGCACCGGCGGCACAGACACCACAGCACTGAATCAATTTAGTCATGCATTGAAACCTATGTTCAATGAAAACCCATATAATAATGACAGGACTGACAGCATTGACAGAACTCTACTTTATAGCGAATTCTTAAACACCTGACCATTGTTTTGATGCAAACCTATAGACCCATAGACCAGTTGATATGAACTCAGTGGATGTGATTCAATAGATTGTTTGCATAATGATTGCAATATTAGTGTTGATGTCAGAGACATTTGAAGGCAATGACAAAATGCTTAATATTCTGTACACTAACTCTGTATGGCGTGTAGACTGTAGTGCATAATGAATGTGGTTTGGTTTGGGTTTGCAAAGGCATGCATAGTGTGTACAGTAGTGTCAATACAGTGTACTCTAAGGTCTTATTTATGGCATTAATCGTCAGCACAACTCTTGCCAATGACTGGCACTCCGACTCCCATCTCAGCTATCATTTGAAATCTGAATTTTTTCTCATTATTTATTGAGTCCTCAAAAGCGGTGTCTTTTGGTCTGTTTTGGATGATATTCTCGCATTTAATTCTCTTCTCACACACTATTAATGCATTTCTCTTGGGTCTGTCATATCATACAGTAATGTATTGCATGTATTGCACCGACAGGTGAACCGTCCACTGGCTATGAAGAAGGAGGGCATTCAGACGCGCAAACGTAAGCCAAAGGCTGCGACACCACAGGAGCCATCGTCTCAATCGCTTAATAAACCACAACAAAGTAATTAAACAATTAATCGACATTTTAAACAAATTGCTTGACATTTATTATTCATTTTTATGCCTCTATTTGTCAAAACATGTTTCAGATATGAATAGTCACTTGAGGAATAAGAATCTGACAAATATTTTAATATATTTATCGCTTTATCGAGAATGTAATGATTTTTTAAAACACAATCTTTAGATATGATATGAAATATCGGACTCCAGTGCCGTACAGATAAAGTAGTCATATCTTAATGATGACCTAAACTTAGATATTGTATCATATATTCATATTTATTCACACTAGACGTCAGATTACAATTATCGCTCAAATATGAAAACATTTAAGTGTTTGATAACTTAATTTTGTAATCAAAATTTTATGATTTTATTATCAAGCAATTAGTTATCGTAATATAGTATATGGTGTAAGAAATGACTAAATGATAGACTATATAATAGAGAAGCCATTGCTGGGCACCAGTGGTTCGATGCTCTACTCGGCCCAGTCGTCCACGTCGTCCATCGGTCGCAATGAACACGACTTAACCGGTGGTCACGACTCGTCTCCTTCTCGACCCATATCATCGCCGATAACCCCGTCGAGTGCTGCCCTAACCCGACACCTTCACGGACTCATGCCATTGGATGGCTTTCAGTACAGCAATAACAGTCCCTTTAACACCGGCTCTAATACTATTAATATGAACCATTCGAGCGCTTCTATGACCAGTGCCAGTGCCGGTGCCGGTCATCATTCAACGGTTGCACAGGTATTGCACTCCAATGCCATTCACTCTAGTGTTATACATGAGCCTAATGTGGCCAAACTATTGGTGCATTCGTCCTCTAGTGGACAGACATCTGATAACGGCTTACATTCTGGTGACGACCATAACAGTGCTCGTCACAGCACCACCACTACTGCCACTTGACCTACACATCCACCACAACCACAATACCAGTGATACGTCTATAATATAATTATATGTTATATAGTATACAAATCTATTACATTTTAAAACAATTATAATATTTTATTATTTTTATAATATATTTCTATATACTTCTAATGATTGGTCGCTATTAAAGGAAACCAATTGAATAAGTAATCAATAATTGAGTTGACCGTAAAGTGCAATGCAATTAATCACCAAATTGCATACCAGTGCCAAATGATGGCAAATGATGCCAATTGTAATCGTAGTGATTACACACAACACACAGTCATTACTATCCTTATCATACAATTTATATTATGTTAATAGCGATCAATATTACAGATATTAATCACTGTATTGTCTAATAATCGATTAAAAGCTGTGACTTATATGATAGTTGTCTAAAATAAGACAGTTATTAAATAATGAGCAATAATTTGATAATTGTTACAAAACTTAACTGGTTTTTGTTACCCTTGATATTATTATATTTACTGAGCTTTAATTTTGTGTTTCAATAATATATGGTTTAAATATAATTTTAAAATTAGTTACAAATAGCATTTGGGGATTGATTTACGCGTCTCTTAAACCAAACAATTGTCTTGTATTTGAATGAAAATAAAATAAATATTAAACTCAAATCAACTTTCAATTGTAATCGCAATTGTAATCATTTTTGCAGTTTTTTGTTTTGTTGCGTTCACTGCGAAAACATTGGCCTCTAATACCTCTAATAGTCTAATGTCTAAAAGTCTGAGTCGTAGTGTTGGCGCTCATTGCTGTCCCTCTGAGGTCCCAGTCCTGTCCTCCAGTCCTCTACCTTTCCTTCTTATCGGAAACATTAATCGGCGGCTCCATTAGGCATAAGACGCCACTCCGGTATTCAGTGTTATGGATCCAAAATCACTAATTTTTTGGTTTTGGCTTCAATAATAAAAATTCAGACCTGTTTGCGATCACGAGATATAGGAAAGTATGAAAGTATTTGCACACAGAGTATGACAGAGAGTATGCCATAGTATGCCATAGTATGCCAGTAATGGAGTGGGAGTTCTGCGCAACGCATCCCTGCTCTGCCCAACACTCACACAATCACACCAACAGTGCCTACAGTCCTATACCCGCCTCTCCATACCTAACACATCACCGCTACTACTGTTTCACGGCTTCACTCTTTGCAATCCAATACATCATATTATATATTATAATATACTTTATATACTATAGTTATACTATACTTACACTACACGACACTACAGTGCATCCCCAATACTCCTATTATTTATAGTATTTTATAGCATATTGTCTTCAAATATCAATGAAATGTTAATTCATTAGCAATAAAAGTATCACTTCATCCAAATGTAAGTATCATTATATTTGCTATTCATTCACATAATTAAAACTACTGTACCCATTTTTACTTTCAACTTATAAGATATTTTTAGTTGATTAATAGGAAATTTTATGCACAACTTATAATATACTTTATAATATTATAGGCCTCATCTGATAACATTTAATTTATGTAATATTTGTCTTGGTCTGTATTATTTTAGTTTAAATTGTTGTCACTACTTTCTAATAGTTATTATTAATTGATATCAACATAACCTATTATAAAGTAAATATCAACTTATCAAAAATTATGTGATTTATAAAATAGTAAATTGAGTATATTATATATTTTCATGAATATTCTGTTATATGCATAATATTCTATTGCATGTTTTCAATGAGTAAACACAATACATGTGGTACAATATGTGACCTATACATGGATTTTAGAGAAAATAGCATCTAAAACAAGTAATAGTATAGTTTATAAACTCTAATTTAGTAACAATTAAACCCTTTTAATCTTTAGTTAATAAAATTGTTTATTGTCTTAAATTAAACCATTTTACGACTCAATGAGTTGTCGGTTGTATAAGCTATTTAGTGAATAGTATTCACTATAATAAACTAAAATTGCAATTACGAGTTAACCCAAGTTTTCACTGGAAATAAATCTAACAAATTTATGACTTTTCTAATGAAAGGATCAATTCTATTAAACATTATGTTTGAATCGTGTAAACCTATCTGACATTTGATAAAAATGTAAAACAACTCAAAAATACTAATAATTCCATTTTATTATTTCTTTAACTCTCTCTCTCTCTCTCTCTCTCTCTCCAGATATTTAAATATTGTTAAATAAATTTTTACGTTAAAATTATATATTAAAATAATTATTTTAAGATTTTATTGCTCAAGATATTAACAATTATTTTAATCTGATTTTGCAATATACCGGTAATTGTAAAAATGTTAATATATCAGTATAATTTAAGTATTATATTCCACTTATTTATTTGATTGTAGAATATATTACTGTTTTAATATGAAAGATATGTACAACTTTTCTTTATTATGACTGTTATAATGCTAAATAGCACTGTTGTGTCAATGCTAAAGCAAAGTTTAAGGGATCATTTCATTTTCTCTCTACTTATACTAGTATGCAGTCAAGTAAATTGTAGTGTAACTATCGATCTTCAAATTTCTTTAAATTAATACATAAACATTGTTAAAAAATATAATTTTCTTATTTATGGAAATATGTTATTTTAGATTTGTTAAGGTATTATTAATTAAATTCTTTATCAAACTATCTTTATTATTTTATATAACTATAGAACTTTATTTAAAAATGTATTTGCAATGTTCTTGTAAGATATTAGTATCAATAGGTTTTTAATATCCTACTCTATGTATCATATTAAATTCAATATTAATACAAATAAACAACTGATGCTAATATTTTGGTCTAAACAAAGTGAATAACTTATATTATTAATTAAATAAAATAAATTAATTTTTTAAAATTCTCTAAGTTAGCCATTCTATTAGCATCAGTATTTATTCAAAAATTGTTTTCAAAAGCTATCAAAAACTGGCCAAAATTACTTTTATTAATTGGTTATAGCTATTATTATTAAATTTAAACTTAAGTCCATCTAGTTCATTATTTATCATTATTTGACTTATTCAAAAATTATGTAAAATATGATGATAATATATTTTTGAAATATTTTATCTTCTCAAACACATATTTGTGTATTTAAATTGAAATTGACATTATAAATTTGTTCAAAACTATCGTATTAATAATAAATCGTTTAAGAATATCCTGGTTAAATTTGTTCAGCTTTAATTATGGGTTTGACTCTGACCAGTGGGCACCAAAAAGTTTATAATCAAGCAAAAGCATAGCATTTGGTCAGTCTAAGCTTATTATGAATATTTTAATTATCAATTTTCAAAACTGTCCAGGACAATACGACTTAATGTTTAAGAATAATATTTTGAAAATTCATAAAATTACTACTATATATAATTAAAATATAAATATAACGATTCTTTCTAATTTGTCTCTATTCAATATTTTTTGCATTAAAACATATATTATTTAATAAATAATTATAATAGTTATGTTCATAGTTTAATAATACATTATATAAATAATTTATAAAACATAATATTACTAAATTAACAATTCAAATCAATCATAAGTATATTAGTAAAAGTTACACATAGAGGTTATTAATTATTATTTACCAAAAATCTTTTGGCGGTAAAAATTAGGTAATTTAATGCAAAATGTTAAAATAATTTTGTTTATTTCAATTAGTAATTGACAATTACGGTACAGTTCCAATATATTTTTTAATAATTAAAGTTTAACAATTTAACAAATTGTGAAACACAATAGAAGCCATTTTTATAAATATTTTGATTTCTTCAATATTTAGATTTATTTATAAATTGAAAAACTACTCATTTTAAAAGTTATTTTCATATAAGTATATTATCACTAATCAAACGTTACATTTGGGCATCAAAATAAATTTATTTAATTACATCAACTAGAAACTGTATTTATTCAATATTTGTTTTTATAATATGCAAAAAATCAATGGATGAATAAAAATGGAGAACTATTCACAGAAAATATTGTATTAAAAAAGAAGAGTTTACTCATTCATACTAAAAAAAGTTTAATAATATGTAAACTATGCTTTTTCATCAAAATATTTTCTATAAATAGTTCTCCATTTTTATTCTTCGATTGATTTTTTTTGCATATTATAAACACATTTACTGTTTTAGGAAATATATGACTTAAGGAATCATTCAATAAATACGTACGCACTGGATGTAGGAGGGGGTCAGTAAAGGCATGCATACATAATGTTAAAGTCCTATGTAGGAGATGTACGATGGGATTAAGTAGGGAGAGAGAGAGAGAGGTCAATTTTAAGGTTAATTTTTGCGTACCTACTTATTGGATGACTATAATAGGGAGATCCAAAAAAATTCATCCATGCTTTAATCATCATGCTTTAATTTGTAATGATATTACTGATATAAAACATTACTGTCTTTAATATTTAACATTTATATTTTTTTATATTTAAGCTTATACAGTAGTATAATAAAGAATTTCTGCTAATAATTAGTCAGATATTATTATACTGTAACAGAGGTGTCCAGACATTATTTATTGATGTTTTTTACAGGTAAACAATTTTAGATTCAATCCTAATTAATGTTATATTATTTGACAATTTTTATAATCCCTTTCATTATAAATAATTATTAATCCCTACTCATACATGTGTTATGGTATTTGTGATTAGTTTTTAATAAAATGATTACAAGTACTGTAATAATGCTCACTCTTACCCACCTGAACACATCTGTACTGTAATAATATTAAAAATTATAATTCAATTAAAATTAAATTCAAAAATATAAAAATACAAGCTATTGAATTTAGATTTATGGTTGCATTTATTCTTGTAACCTTTTGTGTTCGTAAACATAATAAGAATAATGTAATATAATATATAATTTATAATAATAATTATTTATATAAAGAATTTTAAAATATTAATTCATTTGTCAATTTTTAATCTAATCTTTCTAAGCTTATTGTTATAAAT